AGGAATAAAAGTATAAAAAAATACGAATTAATTTGTACATGCGAAATTTGAAGATTAATGAAAATATTTAATATTGAATATTATTTTATAATATAGAAAGAATTTATACTAAGATAAAATTTCATAGAAATATCAAAATTAATATTTTCTTTTTATATATTTCAAAATGCATAATTTTATTAAATTCATATTACAATGTAAAGTCGGTCGATTTCACAAGTCAGAAAAGCAATGATGGTTCTCAAAGATATATTTCATTGGATTACAGTATAACAAGGAGAACTAAAAACGGTCTCAATACGTCAGTGTTCGAAGAGAAATCACGATAAATCCTACTTGATCTCGCAAAGAGAAAAGAGGTCTGCAAGTTAATAAGGAAACTAGGTTGTTCGCATCGACGCGCTAGCCGGTTTACAGAACATATCTGTACATCACGCTTCGACAATTCATGCTCATCACATTTTGAGATTGAATACATAATTGTAAATTATATATGAAAAGAACGTTTAAGATTTTATCAATATTAATTATTGGAATTTTAATTATCATTTATTCACTATATTTATAATGATCATTTATATATTTTCAATTAAGAGCGATACAAATAATAGTAAGAGAAATGAATATATAATTTAGAACTTCCATACAAATCTATTGAACGAATGCCTATTTGAAATCGATTGACTGTAAACATATCCGATGGAATCAGATAAGATCAGTTGATCATCCAAGGGTTTCTGGCTGGACATTGTCATCTGTTCCTGGTAAAGATCTTATGGCTGACAACTAACAAGTTCGCGCGGCTTGTCAATTAACTTGGGTGATCACGTTTAATGGAGGACTCTCAATGGCGTATGCAGCGGTTCGCTTCTGAACGAACCAGTGTGCTTATTCCATCGACTGGTTAACGGTGATGATGAACTGCATACACGTTAAGCTGCCTACGTATACCATATTATACCCACGTAAAAGCATGCAGTGTAGCTAAAAAATACGTTTGTTACGATGATTCCGTGTCGCGACTGCGCTATGAGCAAATGCGATACAAACGCCCTCTTTTTCCTTCTTTCTCTTTCTCGTCTTTCTTTCGTGCAACCGTGACGGCTAACGAACCCTGGACGCGCGCGTGTCGTATCGAGCGGTGGCGCGTACGTTCAGGGGCGTGTTACCAAGCGGCCTGTTTTATATTCGTAACTTAGTTTTATTAGAATTTTTCTTTTTTCGTTATATGAAATGGATTTTATATATTACAATATATAACCAAATATTAAATATAGACATATAAACTCTTATAAATTTAATTATATATTTTACTATTGTAAATATACATAAATATATATCATTTATATCATATATACAATTTTATAATAATAAGTTTTAAAGATTTCATAAACAAATATAAAACTGTATATCGTCAATGAATATTATAAAATTTTAATTTAATCTCATTGTAACATACATATCCAGTAATATCTTGGATATATTTATTAAATAAAGAATAAATACAATTGTATTAAAAAATTTATCAGAAATTTTATGTGAATAATAAATCTTTATCTAATAAACAAAATAATTAAAAAAGAAAAAAAATTGCAATTAATTATTATTTTCACATTTCCTTAATATTTCTTTTATTAATTATCCTATTATGTTTTAAATTCAATTTATTTTTAAATTATGCCTTAATCCAAACCTTGAAAATCCTGAAAGAAATTTTAAGATATTTCTCTTCCGGAACGTGAATGAAATAGCGGTGTGTGCACGCCCCCTCGTGTCTGTGATACGCGTATATGTCGGTTTGGATATGCAGGGTTGCATCGGGGGAGCGGTCGACTGGAAGCAGACGGTTTCATCGATTGGCAATGCGGGGGTCGACGAGTGGGGTATCTGAACTCTTCACAACTATCTATATGTGCTATATAATGTATCGACGACCTTAGCTTTCATGGTCAATGGTAAAAAGGTAATTTTTTAATATATCGCGTGGGATTCACCTTGATCCTCGTTCTTTTTCCTTTGATTCATAAACATTTGTTGATATATACACATATATATTCTGAATATATCTATATATATTATTGAAAAATATTAATTGAAAATATGTATAATTAGAATGAAACAAAAATATATATTTTTATATAATTAATTGCATTTAAAGAAAATATTCTATTACTATTAATTTATAGACATTTTTTATTTACTTTATCTGCTTTAAGTATGATAAAAGTAAGATAGAAGTTATGATCGTTATATTCAAGATTAAGCTAATATCGTATATACGAAATATGTCAACGAATGAAAACGTTTGCGGGACAAATCGATAAATAAAATTTCTGGAATACTTATTCGAAATATCTGCTCGCTTGCCTTGAAACGAGTCAACTTGTCCGAGACATGATAAGATGCAAATCCACTAGATTCTCTCTTATGAAGATACCACGCATAAAAAAATGTTAATTAAAACAGAATGTGAGTTCATATTGCACTCTAATAAGTCCATCAAGGCAATCATTCAGATTTCATTAAACTAAAATATGTGATAAATTATTTCAATTAAATTTTGAAAAATTGAATTAAATTTTTTCATTGTTAATAATTTGTTCATTAAAACTATTTTCGAATAATTTTAAAAATTATTCGAAAATTATCAAAATTAAATCGAAATCTAATAAATGCTTGTAATTACAAAAGACAGAAGCATACTCGTCAGTCGGCAACCGCAGAAACGCATTTGCGTGCCTGATGCGCAGCGGAGTGCATCTGTCAAAACCACGCCCTTGCTTCATCCTATCATTCTAATATAAGGACTCACAGAAACTTAGCAATAAATAAAAGGCTATGTTTCTGAAATATATAATTAAATGTGACTCATTTATCTGAAACTTAATTATCATTCTAAATATATAAAATGTAATTATTACGAAAATATAATTAATTATACGAAAATATAATTCTACAAAATACGAAATGATATATAAAGGGTAGTAGTAATCATATTAAATATTTAAGTAATAGTTATTTTATGTAAAATGTCATACATAAAATATAGATTATCAAATATATTAGAAAAAAAAATATTAGAAAATTAATTCATATTATCAAAATTTGTATATACACAAAACACAAAAGATTTGACCACACCCCTCCATTTTTGATCAGAGAATAATGAAGACGATCAATATTCTTGAAGATATATATATATATATATATATATATTACTAATTTTTCTCTTTCGAAAGTAATAAAAATAATAAGCAATTTGTGAATACCGATCGTTTTCAAATAGTTTTCATCTTATTAAAAAACATGTATACACACACAATAATATATTTTTCTTGAAGAAGTAATGAAAGCCGGTTTACTTTGATATTTTGTTAAAATATCACCGTCTATTTTTGTTTATTTAAAAGTGCATGCAATTTAACCGACCATAAATAAAAAGCATCAACGGCAAAGAGCACTGACCTGTCAGTTGTCACTTAGAAAGGTAGGCAAACGCTAACACCGTCCAGCCAAGTGTTCAAGGGCAGGATGGAAGCAGTACACTGACTGACCGGTTAGTGATTTCGCAGCACGTAACACCAAGTAACACCGGCGAACCACTCTTTCACTCTTACTTCTGTCGATCCTACGCTCACACTGTTCAACTCCCACTACAAATTCCGGCCCTGAATGTTGGCCAATCGCACAGCATCATTTCTCTCCCCCCTTCTGTTAAATTTCTCCTTCCATCCTTCAAACACTTCCTCCAATGGTCTCCTTGACCGTCATCGGAGGTGGCTGACTCACCCTTGGCGACGAGTATGATTTCGCATTCGATACACGAAAAAGTTTCATGTTTTTCAAGCGTAAATTCGCTTTCAGTATTTTTATTTCATTATTAGATTAGATTTTTTTTTCAATCAATACTTATTATTAGTACTGAATATATGAAAATTATTATTACAGCAAAGTACTGTAAAAATGTTATATCTGATATAATTAAAAGGGAGCAAGATTGAAGGGCTTTTAGGGGTTGACAAGAGCTGGAATGACTCATCTTACAATTATTCCAGCTGCACGTCATATGGCAGTCCTGTTCATTGTTTCTGTGAAATATATTTGAAAACTTGAAATTTTATTATGTATTTAGAACATTTATTTAGAATAACTAGAATTAATTACGATTTTTCCAACAAATTGTTAAAAAATGAATTAAAAAAGTAATTTAATAAAAAAATTTAAATAAAAAAAAACATTTATTTAAATTGAGAAATATATAATTTTTATTATATTTAATGTAACAACTATATTTCATATATTATTTTGAAAATGCATTTTCTAAGTAAACAAATAATAAATTTCATAAGTTATATTTATTGAATGTTTAAGAATATTTCAAAATCTTAACTTTCATAGAAATATTTTGCAAATAAAAGTTTAATAAATTAATAGATATTTAAATATATTAATATTATCAACAAGAAAAAATATTCTTTGTTAATTATACATATTATTTAATTATCTATAATAGACAAGATTTAAGATGGAATATAAAATTTTATATTTTGTTTATGGCTGAAAAATTTTCTAATATCAATCATGTATTTTTTGTTTTTCTAAAATATACTAAAATCCATATATCACATACCATTAATATTATTTACAATATTATTGATTCAGCACAGAATAAGATTGTAATATTAATAGTGGCACAATGAAATTGAATACATATAATTATTATAGAGATATAAAATAACATAACAATCTAGAATTTTATAGAAAAAATGCACAAAGAATGTAAATAATGAAAGGATAGATATAATAAAAATATTAAAATCAGCGCCATCTTCAGAGTGCAAATAAGAGCGCAAATAAAGAGAAAGAACAGAAAATAATGAGAGTAGAAATAAGCTAATTGATGATTAGTGCTATATCTTGAATAAGATTAAATATCAAAAACGTCTCTTCAAAAATACTCAAGAGATAGCCATAATTCTTAATTGTTATATTATTTTACATTTTTTTAAAAAAATATTTTTGGTACTTAAAAGATGACACTGATGGTCAATTTTTATTCTTACCTTATCTCTGTTCTTCTCTCACTATTTTTTATTCTTTCTTTGTTTAATTTGAAACATTGAACATAAACTGATTTTAATGCTGATTTTAACATTTTTATTCTATCTTTATTTTTTTCCTATTATTTACTCTCCTTATTAAAATTTATGTGCTTAAGAAATGGCTTTGAAATTGAAATATCTTAAATTGTTAAAAAAATATGCATGTATATATTATAAAAAATTAAGAGACAAAATATTTAAGTAAAATGGAAATTAAAAGTGAATTTTAAAAATTAATTTTAAAAAAATTTTACATTTAAATTATTTATTCAGTTATAGCTAATTTTTAAAAAATATCTATATGTAATATTAATTTAAATTATTCATCAAATATTATATTGGAATTGGTAAATCTTTTGCAACTAATACTAAAATTTGATCAGTACTTAAACACCAATTTACTATATTTTTGGAAACTTTACACCAATTTTCACCATGATGAGGTTCTGCAGCAATACATCTTTTTTTTACATCTTCTTGTTGTTCCTCTGTTCCATTTAAAAGTTCAAACTTATAGAAATATGCCCAAGCATCTCCTAAATCTGGATCTATTTTAACTGTTCGATTAAACCAATCTCGACATTTCGAAATTTTATGTTCACACCAAAATAATCTACCAAATAATTATTAAAATGATAAAAAATTAATATAAATTAATATAAATTATATTTTTAGTATTTTATAAAAATATTCTATGTTAATTACTTACTTAGATACTGCAAGAAGCACATGAGGATCATGCTCGCATTTTTTCAAAGCATCTACACTTTTTGTTTTTCTTTGCGGTCGAGGTTCCATAAAAATTGCTTCTGCCCAAAGTAAACCAGATGTTGGACATTCTTGAAGTGCTTTTGCCATAAGTGTATTTGCCATATCTCTAACACCACCAGTCTTCAATTCATTTCTGATAGCTTCTAACCAAAGTTCTGGATTCTTTGAATTTTTTAAGCGAGCCTTCTCCAAAACTGATCTAGCTTTAGTAACTTGACCTTTTCTGTGTTCTAATTGTGCTAATAAACGCCACAATGGAATAGAATTCGGACATTTTTTTATCTATAAAAATAAAATAAAATAAATAAAAATAAATAATCAATAAAAATTAATTAATAAAAAACATGAGATGAAAATATTTACAGCTTGATTATATGTTTCTAAAGCTTTATCCAAGTTTCCTTGTTGTTCTTCGATTTGTCCTTTCATTAGCCATAATTTTGGAAAATCATCAAATGCTTCTAGTGCTTCCTTTAGAAGTAATAAAGCTGCATCAAGATTGTTCAGAGCCCATTCTAATTTTGCACTTTTCATCATCACTCTAGGAGTTGGTGCAGATGCTCGTGCTTTCGCAAGCAAGCGTCGAGCCCTTTCATATTCAGAATTTTCTGATTCTAGTTTTACAGCTGCTAACCAAATTTCCTCCGAATTTGGATTTGCTTGAAATGCAAGTGATAATATACCTCTTGCTGCTGGAACATCTCCCTTAAAAAAAATTCATATCAATTATAAAAATACTTTCGTAAATTTTTTTTTTTTTTTGTAGAATTTTACTTACAGCTAACCATTTTGATTTTGCACCCATAAGCCAAAGTACTTCACTCTTTGGACAATGAGCAACTGCTCTTTGAAGCAAAGATTCTAAAGATTCTCGTGTTCCATATGTTTTTTCAAAATAAGCAGCACGTAACCAAATCGATTTTTTGCTTGGAAATGTCGACAATGCATAAGCATAGACTGCTCTAGCACATTCCAACGCGCCTTGTTGAGCACACTAAAATGAATGCAAATAATATATATATTTTGATTGTATAACATTAAATATAAATGGAATATAAAGTCTTACAGTTTCTGCATCTTCCATCCATGTATGTTTTCTGTCCTCTTCTTCTACTCCAAAACCAATAATTGCCTTAACTATTACTTGACATGTATGTACTGCTCCAGCCTTTTCAGCCTCCATAGCTTCTTTAAACCAATGTTCTCTATTAATTTCTACACCATTTGCGCTTAAAGAAGATATTGCACGATCAATAATTTTCTCAACCATATGTTTATTCCCATTTGCTTCTTCCAATTTAGCAGCAGTTGTCCAAATTTGTCTATCAGTTGGAATATTTTCTCTTGCTTTATTAAGTACTTTTCTGGCATTATCATAGGTTTCTAATCGAGCAAGCGCAAGCCATAAATCCACACTAGTTGGACAACATTCGACAGCTCGACTAAGTAAAATTCGCGCATCTTCTGGCTCTTCTAATTCTACTGCAGCTTTCCATAATCTTACTGAATTTGGGATATGCTCTAATGCTTTACGATATACTCTTCTTTTTGCTTTTGTTTCAGTTTCTAAATCCGCTGCTTTTATCCAAATTCTAACAGATGTTGGTATATGTCGAACAGATTGAGCAATTACTGCTTTAGCTGTATCTGGTGGTTGAAGTCTAGCTGCTTCTAACCATAAGTCTTCTGATGTAGGATTTACTTCACAGCCTTTCATTATCAAATTTCGTGCAGCTTGCACTTTTCCTGTAACTTCTTCTAAACGTGCAGAAGCAATCCATGCTGGAGGATGATTAGGATTCGTTTCTCTTACGGATTTCAGCAATAATCTGGCTTTTTTAATATCACTGAAATTAAATAAAAATAAATATAAAATTAAACTATCATTAAATTATAATTAGCAATAAGATATATTTAATATTTTTATATTTTATTTACTTGATATCACCACCATATGTTGGTATCATACTTTGTAAATCTGTAAGATAACCCTTAGGATCCACAACAGTTTGTCCTTCTACAGAATCAGAAACTTGATTCAATTTAACATTCATTAAAGTATTTCTTGCTTGTCCAATTTTCCTTAAATCTAAATCTCCTGTAGGTGTTAACATTCCAGGTGTTGCTACGCCAGGCATCATAGATGCCAAACCACTTGATGGATCTATACTAGTGGATGTTTCACCACCTAAATTTCGTGCAAGAACAGAATCTGGTAATGGTGTAAATTTTTCTGCTCGTGGATTTCGTTGCTTTCGATTTCTAGCATCACCAACTTCTGGAACATTTTTCCATTCTTCTTCGCTTACATTTACCAATTCTCTTTTTAAATCTGAAAACTGTTGTTGAATTTTAGGACGTTCTTGACGATACCTTTCTAATTCTTCTCTAAGTCTTTTTTCTCTGTACTCTTTACGCTTTTCATCCATTCGTTTATCAATTGCCTCATAAATAGCATCAGCTTCTTCATCATCTTTATCATACGGATCCTACAAAATGTTTAATCATTTAATAAAATAAGTTATATGATCAAAAAATTTTTATTGAATATTCTACCTTACTAAACAATGATCCTCCATATCCAGAAAATTCGTCATAATTAGAATCATTCAAATCTTCTTCATCTTCTTCTTCTTCTTCCTTTTTCTTTGTTCTTTTTGTAGGTGGAGCATGTCTGTCATCTCTACAAATGAAATATAAAAATTAACATAAGATATTTTCGTGTTAATAAAAAATCAGATATAATAAAATACTTACGAAACATCGTTAGCATCTCGAGCTGGACCAATGTCAGATCTAGTTGTAAATCCAGTTGCTCTAAAAAACAATGTGTCATAATTATATATTAATGTTTATTTTATTAAAGAAGGTTAACTAAAAAAATATTGTTTTTTGTAAATTACCCTCTTCCAACACCAGCTACATATCCTAAAGGTGCTGGAACACCTAAAAAATGCTTTTTATTTCTCGTTGATAATGAAACTGATGGAACTGCCATTATATTTTTACCAGTTCACTGATGTAAATACAAATAAAATTACTCTATAGTATTTATCCATTCAATATAACCTCTAATGTTAAGTGATTCAAACGCTTGATTAAGAAATGACTTTCTAATAGATGGCACTTTTTAGCTACTCTTTGAAATATTTTATGAGTAAAATTTATAGCCATCAATGAAAAAAGAAAAAAAATCATCATATAAGTGGTAAATATAAATAAATTTAAATATCGTTTATTAAATAATTTTTATTAAATAAAAATATAATATAATGATTTAAAATAATTTATTTTATGTCAAAACTATGAAATAAAATTGGAGTACTTTCAACATATTTATTATTATTTTATAATAGATGTCTTTTGTTATATAAATAAGATAAAAATTTATAGAATTCACGTAAAAATTCTTAAATTTTTATAATTGTATGGCACAAAATCATAAAATTATATAATATGCTGATGTACATTTATATATAAAATATTAACATTAAATTATATTCATAACAAGTTACTAAAGATCTTAATAATTTATTAAATTAGAATTAAAAATATAATTATATAACAAAAATGTTAGATTTTTTTCTTTTTAAAATAACAAATATAAAGTATTGTACACATAAGATTTGAAAAATATTTTTGTTCAAAATTTTTGAATGCTTGCATAAAATATTGCAATACCTATAAAACATATTAAAATGGCTAAAATCCAATATTTTCTATAATTATTACAATTTTCATTCAATAATTGTTTTTTATCGAATTTATCTTTTCCTTTACGACGAGGTTTAAATTTTCGCTCAAACTTTTCGATTTCTTGTTGATTACGTATTTTTTCTGCTTGCCGTTTTTGTTCTAATAAAGCAGCTTCAGCTTGACGTTTTTCTATTTTTAATTTGTTACAAATATCGTCACATTTTATGCAAATTTCATCTTTTTGTATCAATGAGCAAATAAAATCTTTCTTAATACGTTTGCATTCACAAAATAATTTCACTTTCTTATTGCATTCTTTTTCATTTTTACATGGACCTGGATGACAATCATTTATACATCGATGTCCACAAGGATACTGAAAAAGAATATAATTATTTAATTACAAAAAGTAATAACATAAGATAGATTAATAACTAATTTAATTACATTTTTTGGACATTGATTTCCACATTTAAGTAATTCATTACGTTGTTCCGCTTTAGCTGATGTAAGTTCCGAACATCTGCGGTATAAAGTACTTATACCACAGTGACATAAAATTTTAACTAATTGCTTGCAGGGACTACATGGTGCAGGATGACAAGGTTTTGGGCATAAATGCGTACAACCTTGTGGTCGTGGAAATAAACACGGTTTTTCACATTCCATGCATGGAGTATCACTTATATCTTCTTTAGAAAATGATATTTTATGACAAATTAATTCACATGTATGATTCATACATGATAATATTTTCCCGCATAATCTTCCGCAAGAAGTAGGCTTAGCCATATGACAAGGCCACGGACGTGTCTCATGTCCTCCTAAACATGTAATTGGTACTGAAACTTCACATGGTGGACAAGGTAATGTTTTTAGTTGCATAGTTTCTTTTTGTATGTCCCAAGGTCCAGTTGGTTGTATCTTTGTATCATTTTTATATACCTTTACCCATACTTTTGTGTGACAAATAGCGACGCAAAGATGACTACATCGTTTATATGCTAAATTGCAAATTTTTTTACAAGGTGGACAAGGACCTTGATGACATTTGTGAGTTTCTCGTTTTGGATGATGACAAATTGGCGGTATTTTACATGGTTTATTACAAGCTGGAGGTTTAATTTTTTTTACTGTACCACATGGTACTATTATTTTATTGTATCCACATTTACACTGAATAATATCAGTTCGTGCACATGGATAACAAGGACCGTTATGACAAGGAGCGGCACATTTATGTTTACGGCAGTTTAAAGTATTGTCGCATATTTTTTCACAAATATTATATGTATTTTTAATCAAGCAATCACAACATTTTTTGTTACATAAATGTCTACCGCACAAACGCATTTGCATGCACTTCTTATTGCAATGAAATTCTTTACCACATGCAATTTCTTTTTGATAACTGCCACATCTACATGATTTTGTGACTACTTCTAAACATTGTCCGCACCGATCTGTATGACATCTCATATTACAGTAATGTGAACCACAATTCAATAATTTCCCACATGTATCTCCACATGTAGGTAATTGTTCTTGTTTGCATGAAATGGCATAACGTTTTTTTCCACATGGGCATGTTCTATTTTGTTCCAATAAACAAGATCCACAATCATTAATTAAATGACATTTACCTAAGCATATATGAACATTACAGGAAAGAAGTCTGCCACAAGGTTTATTACAAGTCCATGAACTTTCATAGCATTGTTTTAATTCTTTGTTAATCTTACAGTGACATTCCAATAATAATACTTCTGAACAAGGAGGGCATTCTCCTGAATGGCATATTTCCTTGCAAGTATGCGAACATAATTTATATTTTTTATTGCATATAGTGCCACAGCTCCATTCTTTAGCATTACATCGTCGTTGTTGAGGCATTTGTTTGCCACAATAGCATTTGATAGATACTGTTTTTGCACAAGGAGGACATGGTCCAGGATGACAAAGTAAAACACATTTGTGACCACATTCTGGTTTTAAGGATTTGCCACATGTTTCTCCACATGAATGTGGAATATTCCATGGATGATATGGTGGATCAATAGATTTTCCACAAAAGCATTTATAATTACGAGGTACATCATCTTGTTTATATTCCATACGACATTTTGGACTAAAACATGTTTGTAAACAATAGCTAAATAATATATTATTATTTAACATATATATATATATATATATACATATAAATTCTCTTATAATATTTCTTACCATGCCCATATCAATGTAATGCCTTTCTCGCGTTTAACATTTAAACTATCTTGTATCCAATGCAAAATGCAAGACAGATGTAAAAAAGCAAAACATTTGTTACAATTCCAAATCTAAAACATTGAAATTAATTAAATAAAATATATATTAAAAAACATTAAAAGTTATCTAAAGAATTTTATATTATATATACATTATAATATATAATCTATATAAAGAAACATATAAAGAAATATATATAAAAAAACATACCGGATCTGCTCTTTTTACGGTTGAAATACATATTAAGCAAACAGCATTACCAGATTGGAAAACATTAATTAAATATGATAACATTTTTTCTGCATCTGCTTCTTTTCCTTGATAAGAAGCTAAAACTTTTTCGACTACATTCTGCATATCTTCTTCATTTCTATCATTTTCATCCTCACTAGATGATTCTAAATAGGCATTTGCTTCTAAATGTTTGTTAATTGCTATTTTATTTTCTGCTTGAGCTCGTTTAAATTTTTGCATTTTTATTTATTTGTCTTAGCTATGAAAATTTAAAAATTTTTTTCTGTAATAATAAAATATAAATTATTTATAGCTTTATAAGAATTAAAAATGATAAAATTATAATTTTTTTATATTATATTGATAAAATGATAAAAATATATATTATATAAAAAAATTAAAAATTGTGGCAAACAAATATAAAATAATAATTTTATTATTATTACTTAGTGTATATATATATATATATATATATATATACATATATAAGTAAGAAGAAATATTTAATATATAAGTAATATGTATTTCAATTTGTATGAATAATTTAAAAAGACAAATGAAATATTTTTGTTAGAATGTATTCAAATTATTCTAAATTTCGACCATACTTTTAGCACATATTTTTTTTTTAGAAAATTAAAGTTCACAAATAATGATACATTTATTGGTTATTTCGTCAAAAATAATAATAGAAAAGAGAACTAATTAGTAATGTTATTATGATTTCATATCTTTTATATCGTGAATTTTATTTTATTGATTAATTCAAATAAATAAAACCTGTATTTGAAGAAATATGCTTTGCAATTTACGATTTTTTAATAGTGTTTTTCAATAATCTCTTTAATCAAGATGTATGGTTTGATATTCAACAATTACAAAATTATGACTAATTATGATTAATTCAAAATTAATCGAAATTATATTGCTTTTTTTGTAGTATTATATAAAAAGCAAAAATTCAATAACACGAATTATATACGTAAGGAAAATAGATAAAAATGTTAACTATCATTTATTGATAACACCTAATTCACGGATATCATATGATATTATGATATTTAATAATCAAATTCAAACATAATTGAAATTTTGATATAAATTTTGATAAAAAAAAAGATCCAAATACATTATGACAATACAGTTACAGTGGCAAAAGAATTTGTATGAAAATTATGGTTTGGCGGATAACTATACGGATAGTTCATTTTTGAAACAATTACGTAAAAATGTAAAACCAAATAATGTGACATTATTGGAAGCAATAACTTTCGGTGCCAGTGTATGCATACAGTTAAATATTGTAATTCTTTTTGTTATCATATTTATTTGGTTAAACAATCAATGGATTAGTCCTGATATCATATTTATATCTAGTGTAATATTTACAATATTCGGTTATTTTGTATATTGTTTCAAAAAGCCAAGTATTTTGATTGAATTAACAAAACATATTAGAACAGTATTGATTTTTCTCACATTTGGATATATTTTATCGCCTGTATTAAAAACTTTAACTGAAACCATTAGTACAGATACAATTTATGCTATGACAATATTAATGTTTATAGTACATTTAATATTTAGTAAGTATGGTTCTTTGCAAATTTCTTTATCTGATTCTTTGTCCATAACATCTTCAATTTTTGGTTCCTTAATGTTAGCATCTAGATTGGTATCTCCATTACATGCTTTTTCTCTTCTTACTGTTTCTGTTCAGTGTTTTGTTTTATTACCATTTTTAACACATAAATTAAATAATAAAATAATAATTTCAATTTTTTTAACATTGAGTACATTATATTTTTTGTTAATAGTTTCACAAATTCTTTTTTATGTATTTATTGCAATTGTAATATTTTTACATTTTATTTGCCCTTATTGGTATGTAAAATGTCAAAAATATAAAGATAACATTTATG